TAAATACTTAAATTTCTAAAATTTCTAAAAGACTAAAAATATAGAAAATCATCATCTTTTTTCGCTATTAAAGAAGCCCTGAATGAAAAATTATTAATGTCTTTAGAAAATTTACGTATAATTTGTTTAAAATTATCCTTACTATCCTTATCTATTAGAAGTATGAGTATTTATACAACTCAATCAAGGAATCTTATTCTCAAGGGAATGATATGTGGTCTTAAAAACATTACCAAGTAAAAAGGTATATTCTGAATCTGCAATCAAGAAACAATGCGGTATTTTATACGGATTTAAAATAGTTTATTGTAATATGGGGGTATACCTATCTTGTTCTATAGCTTTCAAGTTCTAGTCTACTTTTAGTCAAAGAGAAGATGAAATATTAAAATATATTGCAATAACTTACGTCGGGACCACGTGGTCCAGTTCGCCCAGCAGGTCCTGGCAAACCCTGAAATAGAGATCAAGACATTCTAATTAATATCATGACTGCCTAGGCCAAACTGAAAAGTTGCCGCAAAAGAAAGTAGCCATAAGAGTGCACTGATGAATTTAATCTACTTTCACTTATAGGGCATGCGGCAGAAGGGGGAAAAAAAAACCATTTCTCCCTCCCTTCCTAGTCATGCTACCTCTGGTAAACGACATATGCCCCACATATACAAACTATCTGTATAAAGAACCCATTTATCACGCAGGCTACTCCGTTGATCAAATAGAATGACTCTATGTGTGCTTACATTTTCTCCTTGGTCTCCACGAATTTCTGCGATTAAACCAATACCAGGCCCTTTGGAGTCTTGAGATCTGATGTACTATAAGAAAACATGATGTACTATAAGATAACATGGTGTACCATTCTCGCTGAGGCAGCTATGCGAGTTTACTATTGGACTAGAGCTGAAGGTTGGGGAAAAGCTCGAAAATGCAAGAAATAGTAATTCGGAGTAAAATTTGGAATCATATATAGAAGACGAGCTAGCACCTTTTCACACTCCTAGACACTGACATTTTTCCTTGCAGCTTTCGTTAATGGGGTGAATCCCTCAACTAACTCAACCCCTCAATAAATTAAAATCAGCTGCTATAACGACGGTTGTCTTTACACGACCTCAACTCTAGTTATTCTGCTCATGCGTCTTAAAATTCCAATGGCAATAAAAGGTGGAATACAATACTCACTTCGCCAAGGAATGCTGGATCGCTTGTGTTGGTGATATCAATGATTGGACCAGGAGGACCCTGCGGACCAACGGGACCAGTAGGACCTTCCTTTCCTTTTGGGCCAGGGTTACCAGGTTTACCCTAAGTAACGATCCATCAAATTAGTTGTCATTACAATTGAGCCGGCATGCAGACTAGATCAAACATTGCTCGTTTTGGTTTTATATAAGAGTTCAAAAGCAAGTATGCGCAAAAGTCACCAAAACGGTTTACACAATAATTGTATGAATGAATCATTATTCTATACCAAGTTTCGCAGGAGGAATGTTTAGTGTTTAGTTTTGTATTGAAGGGGGAGAACGACGGGTGCAAAAGAAGAAAAGAAAGAAAGATGAAAAAGTTGCATTGCAAAGCATGGTCAAATCTAGAGGGAAGAGCCGGCAATAGATCCAAAGTAAGAAAGGAAAGAAAGAAAGGAAAGAAAGAAAGAGAGAGAGAGAGAGAGAGAGAGAGAGAGAGAGAGAGAGAGAGAGAGAAAATTGAAGAGTAATGTGAATCCAGAGTACAGCTATTTAGTGCGAACGCGCATAAGTATTGCCACATTTAATGTATTCGCATACTTCTATGCACAGGCTTTTTGCTGCCAAACGAGAGTTTGCACGCCTTAAATAGTAAAACCAGCCAGCACTAAAATGTGTCAAATGTGAAATGTGGTTTAACGTACCTTCGCATAGAAGTGTGCGAATATATTCCAGTTCGTTTCACATAACGTTTGACGTTTGATTTCCTAAGTTGGTTCGGAAGTTCTGAAGCAGTTCTACTTCTGTTCCGTCCATATTTTGCTGTATTGTTCAAACAATTATAACGATTATACCGAATTTGCACGGGAAGTAAGTTCGAAGTCATCACCAATGAAGTTCGTTGTGAACTTCCAAAGAACGATACTAATTTCGGAACTTCCGAACAAAATTCGGAAACCAACCGTCAAAAGTTATGTAAAACGCACTGTAAATGTGGCCATACTTTTGTTTTGCGCATTGTGCTGTAAGCTGCTTATTGCAAATAAAGTGCTAATCGAGCCGTATATATTGCTACTCTGCATTGAGAGCATATTACTGATAGACACCCGACTTGCCCGGCAACCAGGAACAGCAGCTAAACAAACAGACATCGATATCATTTATTTTATATACTAACTTGTTCTCCACGAACACCTCTTGCTCCAGTTCTTCCTTGGCTACCTTGTGCACCCTAAGGTAGAAAAAGACAATTCATTGTTGGGCCAGGGGAGGGGTAAGGAGAGGGGCTTCTGTATATCGTTATCACGAACCAGCTTACTAGARAAAAGTCACACCGAACTTTGTCACTATAAGTCTTATTTCTCGCTTTTCCAAACCTCTATCCGACAGCGTTTGTGGGGAGATAAGTGGACCGTAGGGGAATGGAGTGAGACCAAAAATGGCTGCTTGCGAGGTAGACTATTGCTGCAAGGGGTGGTCTATTGTTAGGAAATTAGTTAGCAGGTCATAAGATTTCCTTGCATACCTTGTCTCCCCTTGGACCTGGATCTCCAGGGGGTCCTACCTAGAACCAATACAATCAAAATAAGTTCAGTTAATTATATAAACAAAAGCAAAGAACAACCAAATTAGTGGAGATTGATTCTCGATGCCTTACCCTTTGGGGAGGAGGAGTTGGAGGAGCAATGGGAGCTAGAAAAAAAAAGTATAATGTTACTATGTTATAGCTATTTTATTTATAATTAATAATAATTGATTTTATTATATAATTACCTATGAAATATCTATTTTTTCTATTTCGAAAAATTGATATCTTCACACGTGAAAATAACATGTTATTACATGGCTATTCAAAAATACACGGAAAGAATTGCCTGAAAAAGCCAAAAAATACTTCATTGATAATTATATAATAAACAGAATATTACATGGCCGCTTGGAGATACGAATTTTATCTTCTCGTGCTGAAAATCTCTCACTCGTTTTCTGCGCTCACTCGTGAGAGATCTTTTCAACACTCTAAGATAAAATTCGTATCTCCGCGCGCCTGTGTAATATCCTCTATTTCAAACATTTTATCAGAAAATACAGCTCATCTCAAAACTTTATGTGTTTAAAATTTTAAATAAACTTTAAAGTTTGCTGGTATTGGCAGAACTAGTTTGGTTCGTTTGATAGAAACGATATGTCACGCTGGAATGTCAAAGTGATTTTAAAATGTCACGCTAGCGTGCAGCTGCGCGTTCCGCAACCGTGACATTGGATCGAGCAAGTAAATTATTATTCTGATTGGACGAGCAATAGAGCGAGTAGGAGTCATCGATCCTACGGGGATTTTCATATACGGATAACATAGAATATTTTCGTGTTGTTTTAAAGGAAGAAATAAGACCAAGATAGAAGCTTTAGTGCATCCTTTATTCAGCGCTCAATTATATTAAATTAATTTGGAATTATTCAATGCAGTATAATTACTTACGGACACAACGCAAGTCGCAGCCATCTTTACAACATTTTAACCCTAATTTAGGATGCAAATTATCACAATTGGCATCATTTTTACATTCATTATCTGGTTCTGGTGGACATTCTGCTGCTGTTGGAAACTCTGGGCAAGTTCCCGGAATAAAAACTGCAAGAAGAGTACATGGGTAAGTATAAAGCCAAGTAAAAATAACAAAATGTTGCTCGTCCCCGCCCGGGTCATTTTTTTCAGCCTCTTCATTTTTAGTTTGAAAAATCGGAACGAATAAAAAGCAACAGGCGTTACTTTCATTTCGTACCCAGTTCCCCTCAATTGAGTACAAAGAGAATTCTGTAAACAAAACATGGCTTTTGTCTGCGTTTCGATACTCACTGACTAGTGCAAATGACGTGGTCAGGCGTTCTTGCGCCGTCCTTCCTCAAGGAAGCCCGAGTAAACGCTGCAATAGCGTCTAGTTGAACTGACTTCTAAAACTCATTATAATTCACTTGTTTTTGAATCTCGCGAGAAATTCCTTCGCAATTATTAGTCACAATCAATCTAAATCGAAAATAAGCATCGACCTCCATAGCTCTGCATACGTACGAGATTAACTTGGATTTATTTATTTATTCCACAATCTGAGGAAATAGCGAGTACAGTGATGAGGCCCAAGCCAGAGGCTTATGGGTAAAAGTATTCTTTCTGAAGCATTAAGGCCGGATTAGACGGTACGATTTTCGCCTACAACTGTCGTATACAACACGCTTGAGCCATCCTACAACTCGAGTCGTAGCGTGTAACTCAAGCCTACAACTCGCCTACGACAGAGGCGAGCGTGTTGTATACGATAGTTGTAGGCGAAAATCGTACCGTCTAAACCGGCCTTAACGGTGAGCATTTTTTGATGTTTTATGCACCAGAAAACGTCGCAATATGCATCGCCACATAAAGATTTTATTATAAGAATTGTTGAGAGTAAACTGTGAGTTCTTAAGGAAACAAGGGGTTTTTGTTTGGTTCATACTTTCAGCACAAATAAAATTTTTTTTTTAGAGATGATATTTTTTTACGTTGCTTTCGATTGAAATTTTATGTTTTTAAGATGGAAAAATATCACAAACGATATTTATAGCAAATTATAGGAACACATCAAATGCACATGTATTTTAAAAAGGGAAATAAGCATTTTTCCACCTAGATTTACTATAGGCTATCAATTTTCGACGAAAAGATATGAAACATTATTAGATTACGCATTTGGATTGCGTGAATTTCATGACCTTAACAATCGTGTCAAAACCATGGAAAATGATTGGTTAACAGCATCGTCTTGTTTGCCACTAAATGACCGACAAACGTCTCAGACGCCTTTGTTAATAATTGACTTATAGAAACAAAGACATCTTCTATATGAAATAATTGATCAAAGTTTAAATCTAAAATGCGCCTTTTTAAACCAAAGGAGTGCCTTGAAGAATGTTTTTGTAAATTTAGATATATTTTGCTGTGCAATAAAGAATATTAGTCGAAGTTGGTGATGATGATACCGACAAAGACTCCATTGTTGATTGTCACGGAGTTCACGAGGCCGAATTCCATACCCGATCTAAAATAATTCTATTTAGAGCGTCTCTAAATGGTCGTATATTCATTTTCTTAGGTCAAAATCTTATAAAACTAACAACTTGAGGCCTTAGGAATATGAAATGGAAAACAAGGTTTTCGTTCTGTTTAGTTAATAATGAATATACTTCGGTGTGCATATCAGGGCCCGATTAAAACACGAGACAATGCACTAGTCAGCATCCATCAACCCACCCCTTCAAAGTGATATCTTAATAGGTTATGCAAAACAATTCGAAGGAGATAGAAACTCCAGTTACTAAGTACATTTGCTTAGATTTGCTTAAAGAGAAGGTTCGTGAGAGCCTTGTGCCGCCGCGACCCGGGGTTTGAAGTACTTTGCTTACAAGCCTACATTCTAGTCGTGGAATAAACATGAATCACAGATACCATTACTGCCGAAATGGCCTTCAATCGCTCGAAGGATTATCAATCGTGCTTTTATCATCATTATTGGGGCAATATAATGCTAGTTTGTACTCTATTAAATAAGGCATAGTGAAGGAACTCCAGTCGACGCCTAGACTATTCTAAGTTTAGCCAAGCATATAAATCGGTACTTACACTGCGCTTGGACGACATATGTAAAGGCAATCCCCAAGAAGATGCTGAAGATTATCCTTGAAGCCATTGCGAACTTGGCCCTACCCGAGCGCAGTAGATCCTGTACGGTGCAAAATGCAAACTAGCACTACACACCAGCACTAAGGACCTCGTTACGGCTAAAGTTTTGCAAGCCTTCGCTGCTTCTCTGGCTCGATGGTAAATCGATACCTCTGTAGGGAATCGAATATCCTTTATGCAGCCAATAAATGAWGCTTTCAAATGAGACGAAATTCAAGAAGTCAAATAGATCGCTTCAAGCATGCCATCAATGTGATTCCAACACTCATATTGCTGTCTAGACTATCCCATCTCTGGTGCACAGGCAAACTCGAAGTCAAAGATCTATCGTTTATTCTACTCAAAAGCCTTTCATCTAGTTTCTACTGGACATTATAACTATTTCTTCAGAAGCTGCTTTCCTTTTCAATGAGAGTTTTCAATATTTTATTCGCAGTTTTCAAATATTAATTTCTTTTGAGAAGGTCGACAAAATCTAAGTATGAACTACTTCATTGTATTAAGCAAGGTATCGCATTAGGTTTGTCATTACTTGCTGTTTATCTGTCATTTTCGTGTATCCTACACATACCTGCTTTTCTTTCCGCAAAACGTCTGTTAATTTAACGATTTTGAAACTTTCGTTCCTCGAAGAAACGTTTTAGCGTGAAACAATGCAGCATTTGTAAAAATGCCTTACCTCACTCCATCAATTTCGTGTTAAAATTAATGAATTTCGTCAACTTTAATAATATTGCATAAATAATAGATACATTTTTATCAGTTTTGATAAAATACACAAATTTGCACAGCATGAAAACCATAGTTAGCTTTCCAGGCTCCAGTTTTTGTGTCGTTTATGTGCTGCGCTTTGTTAACTCTCATAATTGCTTTCCAAATTGATTTTATTTTATGTTGTTCTGTATTTGTGAATAAAATAATTCACAGCTATTTGATTTATCTTACTTATAGAAACAGTCGTGAAGGATGTGAGCGAGTGAATTCAGTCTATTGTTTATTGATAGATGACGTAGTCAATCATAGTCTGTCTATTCTCTTATGTCTCTTGTGTCTTGCGTTACAGCAGTAACTTTCCCTTCCATTATCACGCGGGACACGCACTCGGTTGTATTAGATAATTTACTCTGGGTGGGTCAAGGAGTTTTTTTAGGTACATACACACTAAGTTSAAGACACAGCTGGTATGAGGACTTGCTTACTCTAACGTTTGGATCAATTTTTCCTTTGCCTTTGAGCTAGAGTTGAAACGCCTTTGGCTTAATTTGGGGTCACACGAGGTCATATGCACTTGACAGTGAGACATGCGAACACTTGTACTCTGGCGGTGACGCAAATGAATTATCATAAAGGGGTAATCTTAGGTACAGCCAACCCCTTGAGAAGACATGGAATCTCCTAAGATGAATGGTGGAAATATTAATGATAAAAGGGTAAATTATACACCTTGAAAAGATGAAAAAACTTAGTGACGTTTCGGACGCTAGTCTCGTCGGAGTAAATATTATATGGGTGGTACTCATCCATTCATCCGTCCACTCACCCACCCATCTATCCTTTTTTGCTTCCCTCCATTTATTCCCTCCAATCCTTCCCTCCGTGTTTTTCTCCCTGGCTCACTCCAAACATCCCTCTTACCCTTGCTAGCTCTCTTCCTCCATCTTTCCTTCCGTCCCCAACCGGCATCCGCTAGCTATAAGAGGGAAGTGGGAGCTAGAGGATGGCCCACCAAAGTTTCCTACCTCATCTTCGAGGGGACTGGCAGGTGCTCGGGAAAGAGGGAAAGTAGGACTCCTCTTCATATTTGCTCCGCTTTGCAAGCTGATGACGTCAAGCATGATATAGTCAAGTGCAACCCTTATCAATTTTTTATATATTTTTTATTCTTTTTTTAACCGATTTTGAAATCAAAAGATTGTCGTTACACAACTGGAAAAGGATTCAAATAAAAATAAAGGTCAAACGGCTTATTTGACGTCAATTTAATCATTCAGCTAGTAGCTGGTCTTCACTGTACCCCAAGGATTAGAGAATAAAAAACTTGGTGTGTGATTATGAGGAATCGGGCCGGCCTCTCGCCTAGCAAGCACCACATTTCCCAACATTGCTTCACTTGCACCTAAAATACATTTTAACAGCAAGTGTATATTTTGCTATCGTTTTTATCACAACGAACAATAAATAGACCTCTATACTTTGGGCGTAACGGTTTTCCCATTTTAGACCACATGTCATTCTCTTGAGAATAAGATTCTTTGTTTGAGTTGTATCCTTATTCGTGTGTCTTCTCGTGTGCATCCGTTAAACAAGGAAATGATACTCTAAGGGATGTATGGGATGATGCCCAATGTATTGATTTATATACATATTTACGAGCATGCGCAAACGGTTTCTTGGATGCCAGGGACAGCCTGACATTTCCATATCCCTTCCCATAAAGAAATTCCCTCTAGTGTTTGTATCATAGTTATTCCTGAACAGACGTACGTAAAACGTAATTCAATTCTATCACAACCGACTACAAATATATTTTTACCTTAATTACATAAAGTCAATAGAGTTTTCCCGAATTTGCTTGAATCACCATAAAACAATGGTTTGAACAGAATGGACTTGGTGCTTTCACACATTTATTGAATTTTATCAAGTCAAACTATTGTTTCGTTTTCTATTAGCCATGAATGCGAAGACTGAAAGAAAAACGCCCAGAAAAAGTAGTTGTAAGCTTTCTGTGCCGTATTGATGTTTTACTCTTCATTCAACTAGACAAGGAAAATCGGACAAATTTTCTTTTTTTTTTCCTTTTAGTCCATTTATTTATTTCATTATTTTACATCTGTTATTTTTGCATCTGTTATTTCAAAAGCTTTATTTATGACGTAATAATTGCCCATGCAAGACCACAGGCTTTTCCTTTATTATTATCCTGAGAGCATTGAGAGCGTAGGTTTTCTTCGGTCAACCGAAATGGGCGATGTCTTTCACCGACGTTGCCACGAATCTGGGGAAAAAAGTAGAAAAACAAACTGAGAAACAATAAACACGTGCCCATGCCATCATTGAAAATACAATACAAGTTAATTTCGTTCTAGCCTTTCTAGCGCATTCGCATTATTTCGCACTAAATTCACGCTCACGCACTACGGTCACTTGTGCTCTATGCACACGACACTCAACCCATATTGATTTTTACGGATTTAACTTGGGCGTAATGTTTTCCCATTTCACACCACTTCAATTTTCCTAGAGTATCAACTCTTTGTATAACGGTTGTACATGAGAAGACACATGAATATGGATACAACTGATTCGATGTTTTCTCATTAGTAGTGTTCTCCCTTTCGGTGTCAACCATATTACTGAATCTACATTTTCATTAGTTACTTGTGGACAGAATAATACTCAAGGGAATGACATGTGGTGTAAAATGTAAAGAAACAAACAAAAAAACCAAAAAAAGATATATACACGTATATTGCAGCTGGAGGACATGGGGCTAGTGATCACAGCCTTTCATACCAGGAGAACAAAACAACGAGCAAAGATGTTAGAAAGTTGACTTGCCTTCATGAATGAAGAAAGTCCGTTAAGTAGGTAACCAGCTTCGTATTGACTTGAGCATCTTCTTCTCAACTTGTAAGACCCAAGCTACCAGGTATAAGCAGTAAAATCCTCGGGCGAATCTCGGTTACTTAAAGCAAAAATAATATATATGAATTATGTTGCAGCATTTTTGAGACTATGTGATTGGTTAAGATAGTTTGGTAAAGATACAGTGCATACAAAAAGGCTATATATAAGAAGGAAATGTTTATTTCTTACGCGCATGACGGGGCTGGTGGGATAAAAAATATGGCATTTAAGGGGAAATATCCTGCTTCAATAGGGGGCCACGCAAACAACAAAAAATACGTCCTGCTGATTGGCGAAAAAAAGCCCGCGCATTTTATTCCTCCGCTTATCATGCCCCCATGCCCCCCAAAAATGAACGATCCCTAAGCACAAGAAAAACATCCTGTCATGCCATGAAAAAAAAGTAAAAACATCTTTACGGAACTGCTTTTCGTTTTGCATCAGGAAGTTTTTTCCCCCATACGATTGAYGTCACACTTAGTGCTCTATACTTCAGTCTTACCAAGGACACTTGTAACCATACCCATCGTCACGTGTCCAGCCGGTGGCTGAGAATACCTGCTAAGAAACAAAGCTGGGATCTATGTTAATAACTTTCAAGCTCCTGGATTTTTGTTTCTTGGTTTGGTTTGGTTGTGCCGGCTCTACGAGATATATTGACAAGAAAAATACATGCGCGTAAGTGAAAAAAGATAAATATACGAAACATTATATGAATGACACATTTCTAAGACAAAGCCATAAGCCTTGTTTTCAAGTGTGCAAGGGCAGATACACATAAATTACATGCTTTTAATTAATGCTACAATTGGAATAAAATAATAGTGCAAGCATAATAAAATGAATTATATTAAAAAATACAAGAAAATGATTCAATATCAAACAAGACAACATGTTGCAAATATAACGTTTGGAATAGGTTCGCTGGATTAAGATCATCATTGTCATCAATAAGCTAGAGTATTCACAAAATACTTTGTCAATAAAATGCTCAGATACATCTCATGCATCACAACCAGCATGCAATAGAACAATGGGTTATTGCCATTCGTTATGCACACAAGGGCTGCTTTGGATGTATCTGTATAATATTAGTTATAGCCATTACAAGGTTGAGGAAAAGACTGGGTCAAGTTGGCATCGCAGTGCATTGTTTATGGGACATATTTCCAAGATGGCATTTATTTTAGATCCCTAAGATAGCCCCACAATGCACTGCAATGCCAACTCGACCCAGTCTTTTCTTCAGCAATGGCTAATATCCATGCAATAAATATATGTCGATGACTGGATGAGATTGTTTCATATACAGAATATATAGTCTTTAACTTGAAGAACCAGTTACGTGAACGTAGCTGCTTCAAGTTTGAACTGCTCCATTCCATACCATGATAATAACAATCACAATAGTTACCATGGTAACAAGGCTTCGAAAACTTTTCTTTAAAAATGTCTGTAGCCCACATTCATTCAGTAAGAAACTCATGACCCTCCTATCAAGTCAACAGGGAAACAGTCTTTTTCAAAATAAATATTCCTGACCCCAAATTTTTACTGATGAGACCCCTCCCTCTAAAGCCCCGCCACCTCTCCCCCACCTCCCCACAGAGTGCTTTTCATAAACCCGTGAAAAAAGTGTACTAATTAGAGTCGGATAAGCACAATAGAAAACAAAGAATTAGAGTGTAATAGTGTATTTGATGGGTTTATGAAAACCACTCTAATGTTGCATTGAGGCAAGCAGAATAGAGTGGTTTTACTCAGATGAAATAGTTAGTATACTAATAGAGGTTAGCTAGTAGATCTTATTTCCATCAGCTTGTTTTCTTTTGTGTCTATTTGTCGATTATATACCAACAACTAGTAAATGTTTTACGGTCTGAGGAAAATCACAAATTTTGTCGTTCACTTCTACAGAATATACTACAATGTTTTCAACATTGTGTAAGGTTGTGTGATCCTCAAATTATGTTTTCTAGCAAGTTACATATTTGCCAATTGATTAGAATAAAAACACGAATTCCTTACCGTTAATGGCAATATGGGCCCTGAAAAAAAATACACAGTAAGAACTAAGTCTGTGGCTTCTATATATTTGAGGTCACGCATATGGCGTCACGTTACGATTCGCGTGACTTGCACGCGTGATGCATGTGCCACGCTAAGCAATTCGTTGGTGTCGTYGTCAGCTGAACGCTATTCACCAGTATTGGATTGCTGTCAGGAGTCAAATTTTTACAAGAATTCTGTTTACTGATCCCAGCCCACACTCGGACAAAATATATCCCAATCTACATAATTTCTTTTTGATACTCATTATATTATGCACTCAGGTGAGGTGACGTAAAATGAGAATCTACACAAAATCAGTCATAACAAATAATTACTTTTTTCAAACTGTTTTCACATTTTTTTCAAACTTTTTATTCAAGGTAAAATGAATTATTTTCCCCTCCTTTTTCCTTTTCTACTTTCCAGTGACATTTAATCCCATTCTCATAACATCAAATTTCATTTTTCGAAATCCTGGTAAATTTTTCATGCAGCGTGCGTGACATATCGAGTTATTTAAAGGTCGGGTTAGTACGAGAAGTAGGGCCCAGCATTTCCCTATCCGGACGCCCGGGTATATAAATATTTTCGTGAATATATTTTCCCATTAATCCGGACTTTCTTTGGACGGTATATAACTTTTTTTCTTTTTTTTTTTTTTCATTTAATTTTTTATCTTAATGAATGAATGAATAATGAGAGCTGAGTGAAAGAGAAAGAACTTGTTGCACTTTTTATCTTGTTTTGCAATTTTTTTGTTGCTTTTGTTTAATCTCAGAATAGAAAATACCAGCCCCTAGCGAATTCACTGGTCAAAACATACGATTATAAGTATACCAGACTGGAAAAAAACTCGTTTCTACATTTCACGTATCCTCGTATTAATTAAAAAAATAATGGTCATTACAAAGGAATTGGATACTTACGGGTGCAAACCTTGTCGCAGCCATCCTTACAACATTTTAATCCCTGACCAGGATACAATTCTGCACAATTGACATCATTTCTACATTCATCATCTGGTTCTGGCGGACATTCTGCTGGTGCTGGAAAATCTGGGCATTTTCCAGGAACAACAACTAAAAGAAGAGTACAGAGTAATTAAAGGAATCTTTCATGTCACACTTTATCAATGCGTTCTTATTTCGGACAAACGTGTCATTCCATCATTAGAAGACCTCATTTAAACACAAAAGAAATGGCACTCATTCCAGTAAAAAAATTATGACTTTATTGTATGGCCGTGATTTCAATGCTTGGAAAAACGAACGATATGATAAACGAACAAAACAAAACAAACCAAAAAACCAAACAATTCGACTGGATTATTAAAATAACTGAGTACGTCCTACCAACTAATGAGGAACATGAACCAGATGTTATGCTAGCGCGGAAAGCCGATTGTGAACCGAGCAGCTAGACATGTCAGTTTTTAGAAAGAATAGCTTTAACAGATGAAAATTTGACTACCAGATGCATCTTCCAGCTTGAAATGACAGAAATAATATTTGATATATTCAAAATGGTATGTTTAACCTTTCGAATGAGTACATGTATTGCAACATAGTCGTGATCATGAGTTGAGTCTTCTCAATATCTTATGAAAAACTCTCAATCTCAGCTTTAATCAAACAAAAAGCAGCAATTCGAATAGCTATGCCTGGTCAGTCGGTGTCAGTTCAGAGAGAAGGAATTGGAGTGACCGAGTCGACGCCTAGACTATTCCAAGTTCAGCCAAGCATATAAATCAGTACTTACGCTGCGCTTGGACGACATATGTAAAGGCAATCCCCAAGAAGATGCTGAAGATTATCCTTGAAGCCATTGCGAACTTGGCCCTACCCGAGCGCAGTA